AAAATTGGAAATGGTCCCACAAGGTTTGAGAATCACTATGGCAGCATAGTATTGTACTTGTCTTGGTGCTTACCTTTTAACTTTGCGTGAGTTTTCATGCTACTATTGAATGCAACTTGCAGGACTACATGAATTATAGAAAATATAGATATTTTAGACTTGATGGATCATCGGCTATTCAAGACCGCAGAGACATGGTTAGAGACTTCCAGCACAGGTAATGTCTTGCCATATTGCAGGGATACACGACCCTAGTGAGGTTACTAAACATTACTTTTATGCATTTGCTTATTGAAGCGTAGCAGAGGAATGGATAAAATAGAAACAAAAGAAAATTCGTGTTAAATATTACTGTGAAGGCTGAATGTAGGATAGATGGTTCAAGACGAATCACATTTGATGCCGCCAATTTAGCAACAGACACTGAGGACATAAATCCCTCCAAATCAGCTCCAAAATAAAAATACATGATTCAGAAAGTCGAATTGAGACAAATAACATTCTAACAATGACTTCTAAATGAAATTAAATCACGTGCACTCTTAACACTTGCGATATTTGTAATTTTATGGATGCAGGAATGATGTTTTTGTGTTCTTACTTAGTACAAGGGCTGGTGGATTGGGTATCAACTTGACGGCTGCTGACACAGTAATCTTTTATGAGAGTGATTGGAATCCTACATTGGATCAGCAGGCAATGGATAGAGCTCATCGATTGGGTCAAACAAAAGATGTTAGCTATCTCTTCCTCATTCCCCCTCCATGTGCATGCATTTGATAATGATTAAATGATAGTGTTGCGCTAATGTTTGAGGCCAATTGACATGAATGTTGGAAAAGGAAAGTTACTTTTTCCTTCTTTTTTGCTAATGTAGAAAGAGTAATATGCTAACTGCTTAATTTTAACCATGTCAATGGTTCTGGATCATTGAATTAATTGGCTGAATCATTCACCTTTCGTAGTAACAAAGAAAGTAAAAAGTGCAGTTGGTTAGATCCAATCTATTGTTGAAACGAACAACCTGCACGCTCCCTTTACAAAATAAATAGATAAATGCACCAAGCAAATGCTCTCTCTCTCAGTACATTCTTTGCTTGCATACATGCCACAGTTGTTCTTTCACCCTCCTTCACTTCCTGTGATCACGCCACTTTTTCTGCATACAGAAAAGCTTTGATTTTTCTCAAGTTTTGTAACACTCAGTTTATTTTGGTTTCTTAACTGATTCTGTTTCATTTTAAATCTTGTAGGTCACTGTTTACAGACTTATATGTGAAGAAACAATTGAAGAGAAGATTCTTCTTAGAGCAGGCCAAAAAAGCACTGTACAGAACCTTGTCATGACTGGTGGTTCTGTTGGTGATTTTATAGATCCTGATGATGTTGTATCCTTTCTTCTGGATGATGTCCAGTTGGAGCAGAAATTTAAGGACATTCCTCTTCAGGTTGGTTGTGAATCACATTGACGCGAACTGTTAATTATTGTTGACCACCAGTATGGGAAGGCAAAATGCAAGCCGTGGAATGCTCAAACCAATTTTGAGAGATCCTGATTATATTTCACCTCGTTTTGTATTTCCAGATAAAGGATAAGCAAAAGAGGAAACAAACTAGGAAGGGTATACTTGTAAATGAAGAAGGTGACGTGTCCCTGGAAGAGCTAACGAACTCTGGAGCACAGGGCCCAGATAATGATATTTCTCTTGACCCAGAGGGATCAAAGCCCAGTAATAAAAAGGTAACCTGATAATTTATGAGTATTGATGCTGCTGGTTCTGACTCTGATTTCAAGTAGGTGCATAATAAGAAATTTATATAGGAAGTTTTGTTGTTTCTCATTATGCATGAGGCATTAGGAATCAATGGTTAATTAGATAGTTATTCATTCCTGCGGATCACATTTCAAGTGAATTATCCAGGCTGATAAAAAATTGAGTATGTTAGCTTTTATTTTGTGCAGTTGACTACTGGTTCGGCAATGGATGCGTCTGATTTGTTTCCTTTCTTTTCCCCCCTTACTATGTTGCTCTGCAATTAATAATATTGTCTGGTTGTTGGTTTTTTAAATAAATATTTGAATTTCAAGAGACCGTACTGCTATTACCATTATCCACAATATAAAATTGGAATAAGGAGTGAGAAATTCTGTGCAGCCTTGTTGATTACGTTCTTTTGGCAATCTTGATTTACGACCTGGGATATCTGATATCCATTGAGGAACCAACAGACTTGAGATCTTTTTTTTTTGGCCCGGGGGGGGGGGATCATCTGTTGGATCCTAGTTTTGTTGGCTTTACGGGATAATGTTTGACGAATGTAAATTTTTAGTTCATGTGGTCTTTGCGAAGGTCAACGGATGCATGTTTATCAGAATTTTTGTTGTAAAGTTGCAGAGAAAAGCTGCCCCTGACAAGCAAACCAAATCAAGGGCCAGGAAATTTCAAAGATGGATGAGCTTAATAGTAGTTCAATGCCGATGGACTATGAGTTGTACGATCCAGCGGTCCAGAAACCCAAGAGACCGAAGAAGGCAAAGAAAGCTGGGAATGACAAGTTTGACGACTCTTCTGCGGGTACAGCTAATGTATTCCCGGAGCTGACCCAATAAGCACTATTTTTCCACGTGAATTTAGTAATGGAGGTTCAGAAGCAGAAAGAGGCTATGGATGACTCAAGTTAACTAAATGCGGGAAAGTGGGTGCGGTGTTGTATCAACTTTTAGATCGGCTTTCTTTGGTAAATTGCAAGCTAGGTTGCCTCCCCTGTTGGTCTACAAATTCTTGTTCCCTGTTTCCCGCATCCATTTTGTATTGACACAAGGCAGGCAAAGCTGTATATCCTTTTACTTTGTGCATAGTGATAGCCTTAGATATATAAAATTATAGTTTATAGATCGCCCCGCTTAAACGTAATTGGGGCTTTGTACAGATTAGAATACCCTTGCTAGTTGTATTAATTTTGGCGTAAGTAAATTACATTCACTTGGGAGAATCTGCCAGCTTTGATGATATGACTCTGGCCTTGATGTGTTATTTTTTAGGGAAAATTAATCTGCTAGTATTTATGACTTCTTCCAATTCTTAATCAGATCTTTAGATTTATTTTCCTTTTTATTGCATCCTCAAAGTTATGTCTGTTATAGGTGTCAATCCTTCCGCCTAAGAAACGTTCAAAGAGGGTTTGGACATTTTTTAAATTACAAAAATAAGGGGTAATGTAATTTTCAGTGTCTCAAGTTATTTTAAGCCATTGATTTTGTTTTTCAAATTTAATTTTTATCAATTTAATGTTTTAAATTTAATTCGGTTATCAATTTGGTTTTTAGTTTTTAAAAAGGAGGTAATAATATTAAAATTTGTTAACATGAATGTTTAAATATTGACGACAGTCATAAAAATAAATATATTATAGGTATGATAAGAAACAGACTCTAAAATTTTAACGCTAAGAGAATAAGACACATTATAAGGGAAAGGGATAATTTAATAAAACATAATGATAAAAATTAATTAATTTAAAAATTAATTTATTCTCATTTAATTACGCTCGTGCACACGCGCATGTATATATTAAGTCATTAATATACTTCACATGTTAAATTATTTTTATAGTTAATTTGTATTTTAAAACTTAAGAGACTCATAATAATTTAAAAAAAATAAAGCATCAAATTGATAAAAAAATTTAAATTAGAGAAATCAAATTAATAACTGAAATAAATTTAAAAAATTAAAAGTTTTATTATCTAAAAAAGAAATTATGCTAGGTTGGCACGATGGTAGAATTCCAGCACATACCATAAAAGCAAGGGAGAGCGACATTTAAGAATTCTCTGGTAAATTATAGATAATAGTCTTTAACTAAAATTAATTTTTTTTGAGTTAATTTTTCAGTACTTATCTTTTATATTTTCAATACTTATTTTTTTCACATTTTTATTATTCATCTTTATTATTTTATTATTCAATTTTTTATTAATCCTTTAAGATTTTTTCTTCTATTTATTCCTTCACCTAGTATTTTGGAAAACCTACTAAAATCATTGCATATTCTTGGATGCAAATTCATGATCCTAACATAAGTTAATTTTAACTCCTTCCAGTTGAACCGAACATCACTCGATAGATATTTACAATATTTATATTTTCAACACTAAACAATATTTAATTTTAATTATTTTCAATACTAAAACAATGGAAAATAAATATTGAAAATATAAGATGACTATTGAAAAAATAAAAAATAAAAAATTAATCAGGAAAATTTTAATCCCACCTAAGAATCATGATTTTTTTAAAAAAATTATAATTCTATATTTTAAACATAATTAATATTCTTAGAATATCCTTAAACTAAGAAATTGTTTCTTTACTCAATTTCAGAAACCAATAATGAATCTAGCTCCCCCGGGGGCGTGTGGCATGTTACGAAATTAATTCAGTTAGGATAAGATTTATATACTTAGCATTATATATTTAATATATTTATATCAAATTAAATCATAACATATAAATTTTAATATATTAATTTAATTAATAATAAAAATTTATTATAAAAAAATAATTTATAAAAGATTCATATATTTTGATTTAATTAGATATATACACCTTAAGTATATAAGTTTTTTTCTTTCAATTATTTAAATTTCTACTAATACACGTGTGAAGTGAAGTTCAGGACAAGACCATCAAGAGCTCAATTTCTTAGAAAAGCTGAATTCTTTTTAGCATTTAAGCATCACATAAAAAATCCTGTCTTCATAAAATAAACTAAATCTCAAATTAGAATTACATCTCTCGATCCAATTCTCAGTAATATGGTCAAATGCATTTCTCGACGCAGCGAACATCGAACATAACCGCCGTTAATAATACGGGTGCGGAGGCGTAATGCTTACCTTCATTCAGTCTGAAAGCGAAGACGTCGAACCAAGAACAGTCCACGAGCAAAGTTTCATGAAACATAAAATAATTACATTAAAAAGAAAAGAAAAGAAAAGAGAAAAAAAGCACGGCTCGGCTTAGGAGCGTTGTGAAGCATTCATAGTCAAAAACCATAATTCCACATAGCCAGTGTCCACTGTGCAGTGACACTAAAAACGATTGCAATATAGCCGTTATAGTGTTATACTCACATTTTCGTCAGAATTTCAGACACAAGGACTAACCAGCAAGGAAGAAGAAACATCTATACCTCCTTTCATTTGCATTTTGCACACTACTTCTATAGCTGTAGCTAGTATTCTTTCTATAGCATGTGTATTATATCCTATCACGTACTCCTTTTGGGTTTACCAAAGGAGCATCTGTCAACCTAAATCCTAATTGAAACACAATATCAAAAGTAGCAAAGCTGAAATGGGTTATCGCTTATCAACATCGAATTTTTAGCCAAAAGTAAATTCACCAGCCGCCGAGAATCTGAGTTAGTTGTTCCACCAAAGGTCCTTTTGTCATTCTGTAATATTTTTTCACGTTGTGCTGCTTTGCTATGGCCCTCAAATTACTCAATGTCAAGTTTCTCAAGCTCACAGGCATCAGAACTGAGGTCTTATTATGAGAATCAACTGAGGAGCCGGACCAGCAATTCTGAAGATCTTCATTTTGTCCATTGTCCGTTTCAACTACATTTGAGCTTGTTAAATCAATGTTAACAAGTGAATTTTGTATTCCTGCCGTGACTGGCAACTTACATACATTTCTTTTCTTTTGCAACCCAAAAAATTTGCTGTCATAAGGAACAATAGCATATGCAGTTTCATGCTGTTCCAGCTGCACTGTTCTTTTAGCATCCTTGCTGCCCAGAGACTCAACTAAATTTCCATCAATGCTGGTTCTTGACTTCCGTTGCCTCTTGCATGTAACTTCCCTCGATGAACTTGAATCAATTTCCATAGGATTTTCACTCGGATCTCTAGCAGAAAATGAATCTGATTTCTGTTTTCTCTTTCTCTGATTCTTTAGCTTACCAGGCTCACTCATAACGGACTTCCCAAGGTAGACAGTAGGTTCAGGTTTAGGGCATAGCACTTGAGATTTCCCTCGGTCAGTCAGCTGAGACCCAGTAAAACGGGGCTTTTTAGTCTGCATCTCTGACATTGAACTCGAACCAGAACTTCCGGCATTAACAAGGCTAGCACTCTGAAAGTACATTACATGCAGTGAACTTTTTCGGTTCCATGATTCAGAAGCAGCAAGACAAAATTCTTTATCACTATCAACTTGAAGAGGATTTATTCTCCCACAATCCCTATTCAAGGGTAAATTAGTTGGGTCCAAATCTTGAGTTGGAGCAACATTTGATGCTTTCTCGCAATCTCTCCGTGCAGTTTTTGGAGCAAAATTAGAATTTTCACTTTTTACTTCTTGACAAAAGCTGGAATCCAGACATTCATCTGTAGTGACATCTTTGACAGTTGCACCTTCTTGCTGCAAAATTTAAGAAAAATTAGACAACAAACCCTGATGAAAATAATACTCAAATAGACTGCATCCAGTCCAGGAAGTTAAAATTGTTTAAACGAGAAACAGGAGGGTCTTGCACCTTGACTTCTTTCAGAACATTTTCCTTGCCCTTGGAAGTAGCAGAATTCAAGATTTGACTTTTATCTGTAGTGACAAGTTGGCTTCTTCTAACTTCCTCATATGCTAAAACATTAAAATCTGATTTTCCCAGTAAATTCATTCCATCAGGAGGACCGGGTAAACTCTTGATAGCCCCAAAATCAGCACTTCTCAGAACAATTTTACCAAGCAGTTCCTGGAAAGAATAACCAGTGTCAGGGTCTATATCAGGTATATTGAGTGAGAAACACAAGGAAAATCCAGTCACAAAGATTAAACATATCAAACTCAAGTATAACTGAAACAGAATGAGAGAGCCCTACATAAAATAGATAAAGACCATGGAGGTTTGCTCCAGAATTATCATGGATCCAAAACAGTTCGCAAGTTTAGACCTACACAGCAAAAGCAAAATAAAAATAAAACAAGACTGCATTGCGAACTAAAAACAGACAAATGGTCTAGGAGATCTACAACCACATTAGCCCATTTACCGGTTTTTATTCTCTTTTCTTCCCATTCTGAAAACTGAAAACAAGTTCATATTGTCAGGCTGTCCGCTGACAGTATAAAATGTCTACTTGTAACTCTGAGTGCATTGTCACATCAGGAAGACTTAACTGTTTCATCTTATTGGACAAATTAATAACAGGGAAAATGACAGAAAAACCCATTTAAATTAGATATATGACATATTGGTCCCACAAAATGGAATAATTTCCCTAGAGTCCTTTGGGATCTTTTTGTCATTAGGGAGTCAAATAAAATGACCAAATTGCCGTCAAAGTAAACAAAAATCTTAATACTCACTGAAAAAACTTGCAAATTTTTCTAGTCTGTCTCGGGTTCTTCATTCACACCTTGATTCATGGTATTCTTCTGGTCTGTCTCCCTCTCCTTCTTCGTCTCCTTCTCCTTCTTCTCCTTCCCTTTCTTCTTCTCGTTCTCGTGTTCTTTTTTTTTTTTTTAGTTTTTGTACATAGGTTGTTTGTTTTGTTTGGCTGCTATGCATGGGTACATATAAGCAAACATTCTTCCTCTATTGCGTCTGCTTTATGTGGATAAATTTCTTCTCCTCCTTGAAATTTTCTCCTCCCATATGTGATAGTTGAAGTTGATGTGGGTTATTGTGCGTAAATGATTGAGGTTTTCATTTTCTCTTCGTGCTTAAAGTTGAAAAACGTGGGTGCTGATACTTACTCAGAGATTACTGATAAATTATAATTCCTTGTTGCATTGTTGCAAATTTAGGGACAAAACTTCTTAATATTGGAACCAATGTTTTGAATGGAGACTAGCGAATTTCCAACTCTGATACATGTCTGGACTTGCATACTAGGATTTGCAAATGACTAATAAATTATTATGAATTTAGGGATAAAAGTTGTTAACCTAGGAACCAAATTGTGAATGAAGACTTGTGAATTTCCAAGTCTGATGCTTGTCTGGACTTGCACACCAGGACTGGCAAATGGCTAATAAATTATTCCAAATTTGAAGACAAAAGTTGTTAACTTGAGAACCAAAATTGTGAATAGAGACTTGCGAATTTTCAACTCTATTGCTTGTCTGGACTTGCACACCAAGACTTGTGAATGACTAATAAATTATTGCGAATTTAGGGACAAAACTTGTTAATATTGGAACCAAAGTTGTGAATGGAGAGTTGTGAATTTCCAACTCGAATGCATGTTTAAGCAAAAGTGTCATTTCCTTTAATTCCCTAATGACAAAAAGATCTCAAGTGATTCCAAGGGAATTATACCATTTCGTAGGACTAATATGTTATTTACCTAATTTAAATGAATTTTTCTATCATTTTCCCTTAATAATATTGTTCAATAAAGAAGCTAAGGGAGAGTGCTCAATATCAACATTTGACATTTGAAAATTGAAAAATATAACAGTGCTCAACTTCAATTCATTAGTTACTATGACGACCTAAATGTCAGAAGGGTTGAATGTTAGTATTAAAAAATTGAAAAATCAAGAGACAATGGGAAATTAACACTAAAATCAACATTTCACTTGCATATGGCCAATAAAATCTAAAAATATGTGTCAATAAAGTTTGAGTTTTTGGAATTAATACTGGCAGATTCAGTTACAAATGTTTTTTTTAAATCAATACACTGACGCCTAATGCAGCCCAAAACATCATAAAATCATGGAGTGCATGATCTTGGAAAAGATAGTACTGTATGAATTAAAATCTGATTAAAGAAGCATGACAAGAAGACAGCAAACCTTAAGAATGGTGGTCATAAATGTAAGGAAAATGGTTTTACCTAAATTTTTAATAATTATGATTAATAAAATCTTATAATTGAGAAAATGAAGAAATTTCATTGTTCAAACCTGGCCACAGTTATCTTGACGGCAGTCTCCTAGTGTAGCCTTTAATACTTCGTCAAGTGTCCCAGCAGGTTCATTAGGTAATAGTAGCTGAATTCTGGCATTATCAGCATGATCATTCTTCAAACTCCTAATGGAGACATCAAGCCAGTTGATTTTCTGAGTCAAAGCATTGCAGCATATTTCAGGCCAGTTTTGATGTTCAGCCCAGGCTAATTCATTCTGAAGTGATAAGAGATCCTTTTCAAGTTCTTCAATTTCGGTATCTTCCTTTGTTATTAAATTTTTTAAAGCCTGAATGCAAGATTTCTCATTCAAGGCATCCTCCTCCATCACATCTGAAACGAAAAACAAAACTCCCAGTAAATACAGACGAATGATAAAAAGAATATCTCAGAGAAAGCCCAAAGAGATATACAGGGTAAAGGAATATGAACATACCACGCACACAATCCAAGTAAAAGTCATATTGACATCCAAGATGCTCAGAGTTATTACTATTGCGCGCAACTGAGAACAGCACAATTACATGCAAACCATTATGAAATAGAAGACTTACATGCAACCCGGAAAACATGTATTTCATACTGAACATTGATCATACAAAAAGAAAATAGAAACAAGATATAAATAAATGGGAAACCTTCATCATACGTTGAACTCCAAAGACCCGAAGCCATGGATTGTTATTATGTCTCTGCGCACCCCTGTAAGAACCCAGGAAAAGTAACGAGGATAGAAACGATATAGCAAATGGTGAAGAAGCAGGATTAGCATGTTTGATAAAATCACAAAAGAAGGTCCAAGAATGCTACATTCCTACCAATAACACAATATCGCAGTATAATAATATCAGGGACAAGAAAAGAGACGGTTTTAAAAACCTGAAGTGACTTACAATTACTGGTTTCACCAACCACGCTTACGGACATTAATTAATGAAGTATTAAGAACCGTCATATATCGACCATGAATACTTAAAACAATAAATGATCATTCGAGGCCAGTTCTCCAGAAGATCAAGAAGAAAAGATGGCTCACCGAACTTCAGCACCATGTAGACATTGCGGAACTTGATTTCTTTAAAAATAAACGTCTTCAAGAACAGCAATTCATTTCCAGAAACCAACAAGAGTAGCAATATTTCTCCAGCAATGCGCAATCGGGAGTGCAGCTATCCTAGCAATCCAACAGTAAGTCCGGCGAGGCGACCGCGATTGACTCAGGAATGACGAGGCTTTGCGAGGCACAACAAAGAATTTCACCTTAGAAAGACTATGAGAATGTGAGTGTCTAGGGTTTCGAGTTTCTCGAAATTCAGAGCCGAAAAGAGAAAAGAAAGAAAGAGTTTACTTTCAGCGGAAGAAGAAGCAGGGCTTCCCAGAAAAAGCTGTTACTGAGAGTGACGGACGCGCGGGAGTAACAATTATAAGAGGGCTCTTTGTCGGGGCAATATGGTAAAATTGTAGGTCTTTGGATACGGGCCCGGATTAACCGCTCGGCCTGATTCTGGGCTGCTTTCAGACCCTCCTTTTTCGGGCAAATGGGGTCCATTACTTCAGACACACAGAATAAGCATCTAGTTCGAACTGAAGTCAATATTCTTTCACATGTTTGTTCAAAGAAATATATATATATATATGTATGTATGTATGTATATATTCTTTCACGTGAGGTCGTCATTTCAAATATTATTATGAATAAAAAAAATCACACTGAAAAAAAATCATACTATATAGAGATAGACTCGATTATTTTCAAAATAGTGAGAAAATAAGAAAAATAAAAAAGGATGCACTTTGAGGACATCTGCATTTATTTTGTAAGCAGAGATAATTAGAGGTTTGAGTTATATGTGGATGATTTCTTGCGTTTAAAATTTGATAATAAATTTCCCATACTTTTACATTTATTGACGTATATTAGCTCATTAAAATAATATAATATGGCAGGCGACTTATCAGTGCATTTCTTAAAGTTTGTTTGAGGGAGTTATCTATAATCTATAAACAATTTATAGTTCAAAAGGGCTATGTCCAAAAATGAAAAAAAATGTTCAAGAGTTATCTATATTTATGCTATGTTAATGTGAGTAGAATAGTAAACTAATTGATGATAGGTTAATTACCTATGCAAAATTAAAAGTTTAGGAAGGAATGTTTGCAAGTTTTAAAATAATAAATCATTTCATTTTACTGCTGGTGTGAAATATAGAATATTAAGAAAGTATTAGAGTCGATAATTCAGGTTAAATCCAAACTTGTTCGAAAAGAGTTAGGATTGGGCCTAATTATATGAATTTTTTTTAAAAGGGCATGAAACTTTAAGCCTCAATCCCGAATAAGTTGGCTTAAATTGAGTCTGACCCGAATAAACTCGACTGTTAGAATTTTCAATTTTATATTTACATGAGCTGGTAATTTTAACTAAGCTTGATAGTTTAGCTTGAACTTGACTACAAAAAATTAGAATAAAACTTTAATTATATAAACTTTTTATAATGAATATAATATTTTAAATCCAACCTGAATAAATTTAATTTGAATTGAGTTCATTTTAAATAAATTTAACCCATTTGAATTGGTGGCTTTGGAAGGTACACATGGAAAGAGGAGGGAGAGCATTGAAAAGTGAAGAGTGAAGATAGAGAGAGCCTAATGTCACGGCCTTGGAACTCCCTTCCCTTGAACCGTGCCGGCCTTAGCTTGATCCCTCTCTTGATCTTTGCTAAGTCAGCCGAATCCCACAAATAGACAAAGAAGCTAAGAGAGTTAGATGCACAGGTAGAGAGTAGAGAGCTTGAGTGAATGAACTTTGAGAGCTTTTATACTGAGTGAGTTACAAATGAGGGGTGAGGGGGTATTTATAGGCCTCCCCCTTTCTCTAGAAAATTCCCACCTCCTTAATGGACGGTTGGGATTGATTCGATCTAACGGTGTATATTCTATCTCTAGATAATTCTATAGAAATATCTACAAGGAATATCTTGATATTTACAAGGAGACTACTAGAATGTACAAGAACAAGATATCCCTAGAATGATCTAGATGCTTCAAGTGCTTTCTATACTATTTTAGAGATATCTAGGTCTTTCGAGGTCATACAGGCATATTCCAGAAGACTCCGGGGCCTTCTTGATTGTCCTGGATCGTTTCGGAAACTTCTAGAATATCTTAACCTCATGAAAATTCTATCTTTGTCAAACTAAGCCCATACGACGAAGGCATAGAAGATTGGTGATGACTGATGACATCGCCGACAGCCCTTTGCCACTATTGCCCCTTCACGTCTCTTCTGCAAAACTTATTGATCCTATTTAAAATATATTAGGAGCTAGATACATTTTAAAAAAAATTAATTTTTCAATTCTTAAATTTTTAACTTACTTATAATTTAACCTTTTAATTATGATTTATTGTGATTCAATTTTTTATTTTTTGATTCGTTTATAACTCGATCATCAACTTTTGACTCTTTTATGACTCAATTCCTCAATTTTTATTAATTTTTTTTTATGTTAGCTCAGATATCATATCAAAGAACAAGATGAGAGTATTTTTAACGTTAGGTATGAACATTTTTATTTCCTTTTATTTGATAATGATAATTTTTTAAAAAATTTAAAAATAATGATTGAATTATAAGTGAGTCAAAAGTTGAATGATTGAGCTATAGCAAGTTATAGTTGAGAGACTGAGTTGCATGTGAGTTAATAGTTGAAGAATTAAAAATTAATTTTTTTTTCTAAATTTTATAATTATCTTTTAAGCATACTCTTACCTTGTGCATCATTTTTTTAATAATTGAAATTTTGATTACCATTATTAAAACTATATTTAATGGAAGTATAATTAAACAAATGTGCAGTTATTTAAGTGAATAAAATCTCATTTAATTTTTTTTAAATCGTGAAATTATTACAAATATCTTATATTATGGTTTAGGAGTAAAAACAAAGACTAGGCAAAATTGGGTTAATCATCAACCCAATGCCTGGTCTTTATGTACCAAAATCAAAACTAGGCTAGCTGGTTATAAAAAGACAAGATTTTGGTATTGTAATGAGAAAGCAAATAAATTAAAAAATTAAAATAAAAATGAATTTTATATATTAAATTATATTCATAAAAAATATGTCCTTAAAAAATAACATTATAATCAAAAGTTTATATTTTTAAAAACTCAATAACATACATTACTTTTACGTGATATTAAGTTAGGAAAAAAAATCAAAATTTTGTAATACTGACTTCTTAAAATATTCACAATGACAACAACATAATTTATTAAATATGATCTATAATAGAAAAAATATCATAAAATAAACTAATAATAATAAAAATTTATAATAATACACACACACAGGGGACTAAGCAAGACTGTGTTTGGATTAAACTTTTAGCCCGACCTTGTCACCGAGACCAGCTTGAGAGGCAGGTCACCAAATTGCTTGAACACTCTTGTTTAAAAGTAGTAAAAGTAGCTTCATGTTTCTTCCTTTTTGTCAATAACAGTTTTTTTTTTTGATATTGTTAACTGGCTAATTTAATTAATATAAAAAGATTCAATTGCAAGTACTTTTATTTACAAGATTTATAAAAAATATTTTTTATTTACATAGATTCCAATAATTTTTTTCCCCAAAACATAGACTCAAATATATTCTTGTACCCAATGTTATTAAATTCATGAGTTTTAATAAATTCATGACAGAAATGTAAATTCAAAATGTAAAACTCTGATTATAAATTTGTAAAAGTTTACTTCTATTAATAAAATTTTTTAGAAGTATATGATTAAATAATTAAAATATAAAATAAGAAAAGCATAACTTTTGGTCCCTGCACTTTGCTCGTGTTTTGTCATAATTTTCTGCACTTTTTTTGGTGTTCTGAGTGCACTTTCATTTTTCTGTGTTCTAGGTTCCTAAATTAACAAAATAAATAAAGTATAGGGATCTTAAACGTAAAACACCAAAAAATAAAAGTATAGAGATTTAAAATATTAAAAAAAAATATAGTGACCTATAACAAAATATGAACAAAGTATAGGAATCAAAAATTATATTTTTCCTGTAAAATATAACCATAATTTAATTTAAATATATTTTGAATATAAATAATTAAAATTAAATCTATTTACATTCATAGATTATTATATTCAATAAAAAAATTTAAAACTAAAGCATTTGTTGTATTGTTTTGTTTTTTGTTAATATTAGTTTTTGTTTTTTACTTTTATTTTTCATTGAATCAACTTTTACCACTTTTATGAATCAAATTTTACATAATATAAACTTATTTTACTTAACAAGTTTATTAGTGGATTGATATAATTTTATAAGTTAGAAGTATAAAAATGATAAATTGAGAAGTCAATTCATGAGTTTAGCTAAATTTTACTTAACCTAAATTTATAAATGAGTTAATAGAATTTAGAAGTTAAAAATGTGAAAACATTAAATTTAAAATCATCTCGAGAGTTTGAAGACAATACTTGTACAAAGACGTTTGTCTTCCTTTCGGGAAAATGTAAACGTGCTGTGTTTCTCTTTTCTCTTTTCTCTTTATTTTAAAATAAATATATAAATAAATATTAAACAAAATGCGACAAGGATTACTTCCCTTCCTAATGGAATTAATCGTGGATTGATATTTCCTCACGGCGAGTTTATTAAGAAATGTTGAAAAGGAAAATAATAATATATATTAAAGTTCACCTGTTGTTGTTGCTGTCGTTTTCTTTTCTGGTATGACCGATAATAAAGATGGATGAATTGCGCGACTTAAAAAGGTTTTCAGTGAAGGGAGAGAAGATACATAGAAGTAAAGACTTGTTTGGTTTCAGTTATTAAAAACAAATAAAAAATTTCTTTAGACAAGTGTTTTAAATTTAATTGTTTTTAAAATTATTCTCATTTGTTTTAAAAACAAAAAAATATTTTAAAACTATTTTCATTTCATTTTTTTTACAGGTGCATTACATCCGATTTATTGAAAATTAAAATCACCTTGACCAATTATTATAATAAGCAACCACCATTAATACTATCACTGTCAACTGATTTGATTTTTAAATTAACAGAATCAAATGATTTTTTTTTATTTTGTTTTGAAAAACAATTATAAAGCTATATTACAAAACAGATTATTCAAACAAAAAATGAAAACAAAACGCATACATGGCCTAAATTTTCTGAAATTTCAATTTGTGAAGTTTTTATTTTCAAGTGGAAATTGCAATGTAAAGCGCACCCATATGTTTTTATATAAATTTGATCTTGTGCATTAAAAAAAAAAAACACATACACATTGAATAAGTCTGATCTGTGTTGATATTCATGAACTTCTGATACAGATATTCATGACAAGGATGGGAGCACGGTAGGCTGTGGTTATGCATACATTAAATCTTCGGGAGAGAGATAACTAACATGACAACTGGAATAAGGATTAACATTTAGTGTTTCATATGTTATACGTACACGTATAGTTAACCTTAAAAGCTATATCAATTTAATATTAAATGTCCTTGTTAAGTAAGCATTATAAGTTTAGAAATATACCTTTGACCTTCATAAGCTTTGAAACTCAACTTACTTAAATTTTTGCATATAGATATCCTCATTAAATAAAAGTTATTATTTAAATGTCTCAATGTTTATTGACTATCAAATGTGCCTTTGAAACACATCAAATTTGAACCATATACAAATATTTCTTTTAATTTTTTTACAACTTAATAATGAACTCTCCTGAACGTAGAGCCAGTAATATAGATTAATTTGCAACCCGTGAGCTAGCCCGCAACGGGTTGTGAGCAAGGCGGAACTGGTTGACAAAACTCGCATATCATATAGATTGCATTTCTATGGCTAATCCACTAATAAAAAATATTTTTATATACATTTTTTAAATTTTATAAATTACAAATTTACTTCTTTTCATTTTTTTTTGGTAAAAGTTATATTTTCTCCCTAAAAATTAATTATCTAAATAACAATAAAACTCCTAAATCATTAAAAAAATACAAATTGAAAATACATTAATACAGTCCTAAATAAATATATATATCAATCACAAACAAATATGGTAAAAAGTTAATTATAATTTAAAGCTTAAAGATTTCTTCTAATGAATCATAATGTTAGAAGCTTTACTAGAAGCTGCAATATAATTAACACGTAGAAGTTTAAAAAGTAAATAAGAAGATACAGCTATTACTTAAACTTTTGCATATAGATATCCTCATTAAATAAAAGTTATTATTTAAATTTTCAGTGCTTATTGACTATCAAATGTGCCTTTGAAACACATCAAATTTGAACCATATACAAATATTTTTTTTAACTTTTAAAACTTAATAATAAACTCTCCTGAACATAGAGCCAGTAATATAGATTAATTGCAACCCGTGAGCTAGCCCGCAACGGGTTGTGAGCAAGGCGGAACGGGTTGACAAAACTCGCATATCATATAGATTGCATTTCTATGGCTAATCCACTAATAAAAAATATTTTTATATACATTTTTTAAATTTTATAAATTACAAATTTACTTCTTTTCATTTTTTTTGGTAAAAAGTTATATTTTCTCCTAAAAATTAATTATCTAAATAACAATAAAACTCCTAAATCATTAAAAAATACAAATTGAAAATACATTAATACAGTCCTAAATAAATATATATATCAATCACAAACAAATATGGTAAAAAGTTTAATTATAATTTAAAGCTTAAAGATTTCTTCTAATGAATCATAATGTTAGAAGCTTTACTAGAAGCTGCAATATAATTAACACGTAGAAGTTTAAAAAGTAAATAAGAAGATACAGCTATTACGGTACAAAGATTTTGATGTCTTTCCTTTTATTTTCATTGATATAATTAAATTGCTTTCTCTTATATATGGCACGGAATAAAAAGTGCATTTTGGTATATTATCTTCATTTATATTATATTTTGATATTGATTTTGATAATGAAAATTTATTTTTCATTTTTTTGTTATCTAAATTAAGGCTTCCTACCTTTAAGTAAAGGCTAATTAGTTTAGTTGTCAAGAATATGTCATAATACCTCAAGTCCAATTTCGGTTTTGGACGTTCCAACTTAACAAATTTTATTTTTTTATAATCATTAAAAAAAAATATAACAAATTAATAAATTTATTTTATTATCAATCTTAATAATATAGATTTAATCTTATGGCCCAATTCAATATTAAAAGTCTTTAAAATTTTTATAAATTAATTATTCATAACTGCTTTAAATAGTGTAGTTTTAAAATTTTGGCGGGTTTAAAAATTGAAAATGATTTTGCAATTTTCATCTTTTTTTTTTTTGAAAAAATAAGTAGGTTAATTCATCAATCTGCGGATTAACTCACTGCAGATTTATAGACTAACAATTAGATGAGTATCATCACATTTCATTACTTTAATTTAAAACACTGCCATTTAATAAAAATAGTAAATTTCATATCGATCAAGGTGCATTAATAAGGAAGCATTCTTGTTTAAAATATTCGCCAAATAAACCTTTTTATTTTATTCTCCTCCACTAACCCAAAAAGGATGAAAAGAAAAAAGCCATGCATGCAAGATCACATGTTATGGCATCTAGTTTCACTGACTATCATTTGATGAGCATCTCGTCCATTTCACATTAATCTGGACAGTTTAGATTTATAGGTTTTATTTTATATTTTATTATATATTTATTAAAATAAAAATTATAAAATTTTAATAAATTTATTTTCTTATCAAGTTGGATAATACAAATTTTATATGAATGGTCTAATTTAATATTAAATATTTTTTAATTTTTATAAATTAATTATTCAAATGTACTCTTGATAGTTTAGATTTAAAATTGTTTGTTGCAACTCTTTTTTTTTTAAGTTCTTGTTTAAAGATTATATTTATTTTAAATTTTTAATATTATATTTATTAAAATAAAAATTATAAAAAATTTTAATATTAAATCTAGACAGTTCAAAACATATCTGAATAATTAATTTATAAAAATTATAAATAATTTTAATATCAAATTAGACTATCCATGTTAAATTTGCATTGTCCAAATTGATAATAGGTTATATTTATTAAAGTTTTATATTTTTTATTAAATACAAATTAAAATATAAAAATAAAAACCTGTAAATCTGAAAAAATCTGGACGTTCCAGGTGTACCAAAACCAAACGCCATGTTATGCTAGCTGATCGGGGTCCGAAGGCAATTCCTCGTAACCATCATGGTGTTGGAATATCGCATCTCTTTCAACTGGAATGCACTTGACAATAGCAGATACTGGCATGCTCATTGCTCCAATCACGATACTGAATAGCCAGAGTTTCCAGTTGAGAGGCGCTGTGCTAGCAAATGTCCCCAGAAACTCAACTATGATTACTTGAAATGCCACTGTTATGAAAATTATCCCTAAAAATATCCAGCTCTTAAACATGCCTCTGAATACGTTTATCTTATTTATGTCTCGGCTGTTTATCTCATTGAACACCTGTCACAACAACCGCAACAGAGATGAGAACACCAAATACGATACTCTATATTTTATAAACCTCTCTGCTTTAGGATTGCCCAAATTTGTATGAACTGTATAAATTAAGTATTTTTCAACGGATCATATGACTTTATTTGCCTTTCAGAATGAAACGCAAATTCACAATCACGTACCTGGCAAAATACAAAGGAGTTGAAGATCAAAGTGTTGAGAACAATAGTTGCACCTGAACCGGTAATTCTGAGAAGCCTCTTGCCCGCAAAATTGAGAATGGCAAGGACAATTAACTGATATATACTTTGTCCAATGATATTCCTCCACATGGGTTTGGTGATAAAGCTTGCCCCTTTTGCAACTGGGGGTCTTTTCATTAGCTCATCATGAGGAGGCTCAGTGGCTAGGGCTAGAGCCCCCAGAGTGTCCATAATCAAGTTCACCCATAGTAATTGTATAGCCGTTAGTGGAGTAGATCCTGAAGCAAAGGAGGAAAAAGAAAACTAGCGTTGCTCTTCCTTCAGACCAATCCAAAGGCATTGAATGGAAATCAAAGTTTCTAGAGAAGTCAACAAACCTGTGATGCACGCAGAAACAAAGTTGATCACAAGAGCAACAGCATTTACCGTTAACTGAAACTGCACAAATTTTTGAATGTTTATGTATACTGCCCGCCCCCACCTGGCCACTTTCACAATTGTCTTGAAGTTATCATCCATTATGATCACATCTGCATTTTGTTTGGCAACCTGCAAGGGGTAATTGCAAAGAAGAAACGTATTAGATTCATAAAAACCAGTAAGATCACACTGCATTTCGTTTAGAACAAGACGCTGAGCTACCATACAAGACCACTTATATAACCATAATAGCAAAAATTTCCAGAGGCACAAACCTCTGTTCCAGCGATGCCCATGGCAAATCCAATATCTGCTTCATGCAATGCCGGAGCATCATTGGTTCCGTCTCCAGTAACAGCAACAACTTCACCAAACGTATTCCTCAAATGGGATACCAAGGTATGCTTATCAAGCGGCAAAGATCGCGCCAGGACCTATAACCATAATAATCAAGCTTGTAACAAAAATGAGCATTTCAGATAAGAGATGTAAGTAAAAGCTTACAATGGGATTAGAACCTGGATTCTTGGTATCAAATGCTTTATTTGTTCAGGTGACAAGTTGCGAAATTCTGGTCCTTCTATTGCTATACCATCCTCGGTGAGGATGCCACATTCTTCAGCTATAGCCTCAGCTGTATGTATGTTATCACCAGTGACCATACGAACTGTTATTCCAGCTGCTAAACAAGTTTGAACGGCGTTCTTGACCTCAGGGCGCACAGGATCCTTGATTCCTAAAACGGCTATTAGTGTGTAGCCATCATCAGGTATACTTATTTTCCCTTGGTTTTCATTTATATCTCTGACAGCCAAACAAAGAGTTCTTAAAGCTCCCGAGGCAAAATTGTTTATAACATCAGAAATATTCTTCGCTTGGTCTTCAAGAAGATCAATGGTTTCTCCATTGCAATCAATAAATTTGTCACACATTTTCAATATTATTTCTGATGCACCTTTGCAGAAAGCTCGTATCCCCCCTTCAGGGAGACCTACGAGAACAGACATCTTCTTTCGAACTGAATTAAAAGGCTCAATGTCAAGTTTCTTATAATCTCTGTGCTGGGAATCCAAATCACCACCCAAAAGCAAGCCAAATTCCAATAATGCCGATTCTGTTGGTGTTCCAAGTATTGAGTTCTTTCCATCTCTATCCTTGACTACTTCAGAAGAAGTATTTTGAAACATAGCCTGCAAAAGGACGTCCAGAGCTCCTTCAGATATCTCTGTTCTTAGCTTGGCTCCACTTTCATTGCCTTTAATTTCCATGGTTTTCTCGCATATCCATATTTTATCAACCGCCATATGGTTAGCGGTTAACGTCCCTGTCTTATCTGTACATATGCAACTCGCTGAACCCATTGTCTCGCACGCAGAAAGATGCCTCATGAGTGCTCTTTCATTCATCAGTTCTTTCATTGCAAAAGCAAGGCTAAGTGTCACTGCCAAAGGTAGTCCCTCTGGAACGGCAACAACTATTATCGTAACAGAAATAGCAAAATAGTTTAGCAGCTTTACTGCATCATTTGACGACCAATGAGTAATATCACCATGAATTGCCTTTTCCACCACAAACCTTATCGTCAGCACCAAAAATGTCAGCACAGCGAAAGTCAAACCAATCTTGCCAATTATTGTAGCAACTCCATTCAGTTTGACTTGCAAGGGGGTCTCATCCTCTCCCCCCTCGTTTAAAGTTTCCATTAGTTTTCCCCATTCAGTCCGCATGCCAACAGTTGTCACTAACATTTTCCCTTGACCATCTTGTACTTTAGTTCCTGACAGAAGAAATGGTTTTTCTTCAAGCAAATTTACTGGTTCACTCTCACCTGACAAGCTTGATTCATCAATCAACAAGTTGTATCCTGATATGTAAACGCCATCAGCTGGAACTTGATCCCCAGTTGACAAATAAACAATATCTCCCACTACCACGTCATAAATTGAAATCTTTTGCCTTTTCCCATCCCTAATGACATGGACAGAGATTTTTTTCTTCTCCTTGTCTAAAGCCCTGAACTGTAAGGATTGTTGGTAGTCACTTGCAGCAGTCACAGTAACTACCAAGAGCACACTGAGTATGATTCCTAAACCATCATACATACCCTCAGGCCACCGTTCAGTGGCAATACCTACACCTATAGACACTACGGCACAAACCATGAGAATAATTAGGGTCAAATCATGTAGTGCTTCCCACACGAACATCAGGAAGGTCCTGGGAGGTCTTTCTGTATAACGGTTGATCCCATAAACTTGTTGCCTTGTTTTTACAGTATCTTCGTTAATACCTTCATCTACAGAGGTAGAGAGTTTCGTTGCAATTTCTTTAACCCCACCGTATTTTTCTAATGCTTCATAATCGTGGCCCCGAACAATAGACGCAATCTCACTGATATCAATGCTGAAACCAGCTTCTCTCCCGTCTTCTGGTAGATTGTTTTCAGCTAGACCACGAGCTGCATGAGACAACAGATAAACTTGTAAGAATACATGTAAAGAACTAAGAAATTAGTTCTGATTTCCAAAGCAAAGGTGGGAGCTTTTATCATACCATTAATAAAGTGCAGTGCTGCCTTTTGAACAAAGAGAGCAACTCGAACTTTATCCTGATTGAGTAGACAAGAATTATATAATAAAAATTTTGATAAAAAGTTAACAACAAACCATATTTATCAAGGGCAGACAAAGACTACTTAAGACAATAGAATAATTTATGGACTACAGAGATCTTTTCCCTTAAAGAACCTTCGGAAGATCACAACCCAAATAAATACAGGTGTGTGAGTTTTATTCTCATCCCTTTAGAGGGCATCCATAACAACCCGGACCATAACCTTGAGAATACAAGTAGCCATATCCTTTCTATACTCTATACAAGCACACATTAACCTGCAAAGTCATGTCCAAAGGTAATTCATATATAACTTCAACCTTTAATTATTGATCATCTCTAAGAACATATAGGTAAAATTATTTTAGTGCCTTATAAGATCATTAATATAATGCATGTCCAAAGACACGAGACTTCCCACTTTGAGAGTGAAATCAGAACAGCTAGAATAAGTTTTTCCTCCTTTCTTTCTTTTCCTTTATTTGTAAATGGTAATCATTATGGACGCGAAAACTCAAGCTTAAAACGCATGAGCGTATCCATGAAAAAGCCGAAGAGGAAGAATAGCATTTTGCATGGCGTGTTGCTCGTAATGGATCGGAGCCGCTCTCGTATAATCCAGTGGGCCAGATTTGGTGACTGTTAAAAACTGTTGCTCCCTCTTCCCATCTCGGATTAAAACCGCGCATTGAGTCTCATTTAGTCATTTAGAAGCCCGAAACAAAGAGAGCCTCGTGCTAAAATCTATACAATATGCTAAAAAAAAAAAAACATATATAATACATGTAAAGAAAAAATAAACTTGGTTCCCTGAGTTTTGTTATAAATCATTGCATTTTTTTTTATCCTAAATCCCACACTTTTGTTTTTGGTGTTCAAAGTCCTTATAACACTATTCATAGAAGGAATTAGGACATCAAAAAACAAAAATGAAGGGATTTAGATCATTAAAAAAAAGTGATTACAAAAAGCAAAAAAACATATATGATATATAAAGTAGTGAAACTTGTAATAAATTATTATGCTATTTATAAATTATGAATAGTAAAGAACAATTTATTTTTTATTTTATAAAGCAAGAAAGTGTTTAGGACTCGACAAAGTTTTTTAAATGCTAGTTTAGGCACATTTTTAAGAAATGGAAATGGATCTCCAGATTAATTCAAAAGAAATTAATTGACAAGGAAACACAGAATCTCCTTTCATCATCCACCCGTCAAGAACCAGAGGGGCTAAAGAGAGCAAATTTAAAGGCTCCCAAAACCTGAATGGTATGAGAATCTAACCGAATAGTCCCTCTAATTTGTGCACTAGTATGCTATAGTTGAATGAAAAGCCCAGATGGCATAGACATTTTGAAGATTCAACACGTAAAATACGCGTCAAAACCGTGTTCAAGTCAAGTCAATGTTAAACTATTGGCCAAAAAAGGTGAGTGTCAACTGGGGATAGCCCCGCTTTCCGTGAAATTCCCCACACTAGAGTAACATGTAATTTAATTTTCAACTCAGAAAGACGACAATGCAATTTTAAAAGCAAGGGATTCTCGAGTAGTGCTTGTCTGGGATGAGATCATCACGGTGACCCATGGACACGAAAGCTAGCTAAAATCCTTTTTGTTGCTGTGTGCCATTTATAATATATTATATTTCTCTTATTTAAAAATATAAAATATTTTTTAAAAAGTTAGATATTAAAAAATATAAAGTATTTTTAATCTTTTAAAGTATAATAATTATTTTTTTAAATTTTTTTATTAATAAATAATTTTATATTTATTATAAAATATTTAATAGAAATAAATATAAAAAGATAGGGTTAGTTTGAAAATAAATAATTAAGATAAAATTAATTAAAAATATTTTATATTTTTAAATGAAAAAAATATATGGTTAGATGAAAAGAAAAAGAAATTTGTTTCCTTCAAACAAGTCACAGCGTGCAGTCCTGTTATACAAATAAACTACTATATAATTACGACGTATTTTATTAATTTTATACGGATAACATAGTAATATGTAAATACAAGTAAGTACATCAGATCCAGAACAAAAAAACATTCACACAAATCAAAAAGCTCAACGCCTTCCTACTCTAGCATTTCCTCTGAGTTGGCATGCAGCATTAAATCAATATATATATATATATATATATTATTCTCATGCTTTTATATCACTTACGCAATCAATCAATCAATATTAATATATATATATATATATATATATATCAACACGTGTTATAAAATTAGTATGCTAATGCTGTTTCTAAGCTGTTAATATCCTCGCAAATGCAAGGGAGATTATTCTAGTCCTGCGCGTTAATTGTCTTTACTGATTTACTCTAACTTTGGTAAGTATTGCGACGACAATTTGAAACTTCCGCGAAGTTTCCTTGGTGGCCATTATATATATGTTAAATGTTTCAACATGTATATATATATATATATATATATATGCACTCATTGCTTTACAAGCTGAGCACGTATGTAGCTTTAAATATTACTTTAAAAAAACTCGAAGCAAATGCAAATTATGAACACAAAATCAAACAATATATAAATTAATAATTAATAAAAAATTATAATTCTCATAACGTACCAACAAAATATACCTAATTTATTATTAAACTGTTTGATTATACAATAAATATATAAGTTTTAATGATATATGACAAATATATGATTTTTATAAACAATTGTGTCGTTGTTTATTAAATTACAGCTTTGCCGTGACATTGTTATAATGAATATTACTTACCATTTTCAATGAAAAATCTAATGACAGAAATATTAAAAAAACGTGTTTTCATGTAATATCATGTATTATGATATTGATCTTTTTTTTAGTAAATAACTAAAATGTTTAAGCTCACATGGTGATTAAACAAAATATTAACACATTTTAAGCATAAAGATATTTTTCAAAATGAAAAATAGCTTCTTGAAATAAAGACATCCATTAAACCAAAAATGATATGACAACCCCGCCTAACATAATGCTAAGATGAAAGTAATGTATTTTTATTTTGTTAAACAAATGAAAATAATTTATTTTTCTCATATACATATATACTTTCCCTGTGTCCGCGCATGTGTATACTTTTCCTGTACGTGTATCCGCCTAACTTCAAACATTTGCTCATGATTTTTCCTTTCTTTTAATAAATCAGAAGGATCTGAACCGACTTTTACTTTTAAACCTGATGAACTTTTTATCTCGAAAACTATATTAAATCATATTAATTAATATATAAACATAATTTATTGGAGCATATAGTTTTTTCTCAGACAAAAAAAAAGTGTATAGTTTTTTCCATATCAATATTCATAACTTTTTTAGTACTGTTTAGGTTATATGCTAATTTTATATTTTTAAAGAAAATTAGGTGCGTTGACTTACGAATATTCATTAACTGTTCAATTTCATTTATGTAAACAGAATATACGTTTTTTCTTCTGCTCCGAAATAAACAAAAATTTATTAGCTAACTTCTATATACAAACAAAGTTTAAAATTCACGAGATATTAGCGTTAAACTTTCCCAAGAACTTCATAGGGAAAATATTTTCCAAAAACATCAACAAACACGATATATTAATATTTTATTTAGATAAAAGTAAAAATTGCGAAGTTATTTCTATTTTTATTACTCCATAAAATTTTAAAATGAATAAAGGTCAATCTCCATTCGAAACAGATTGGAGGACCACCAGCCAAAATGGAGAAAACAGAAAAGTTCGAACGCGTCGACGTAGCGAGTCCCTAATGCGTACGGAATTGGGATTTAGAGGCCTAAACCAAGAGAACCGAATCACGCAAGTAACAGCTGCAAAACGCTGACTTTGATTTTGAAAGTCAGTCAATCTTGAAACTGTCAGTTCGTTGGCCCCAAAATGGATTCTCATCATCAATGTTAAACGGAACCAACTTAGAGGAAGAGATTGAAACGTCGAATTCTGTCTCCAGATTTCAGCACTGACCATTTCACCCTAGAACACTCAATGATCACCGTCTCTCAGCCTTACAGTCATTTACTTGATACACGAAGAGCTCCAGGATTGATTCCGAGGAAATGAGATGAATAGAGATTCTGTACATAGATTCTAGTCACTCAAACAAAGTTTATAATTTTATATAGTTTTTTGTTTCACAAATCTTTTTAAACCATATCAGATTTGAATCTGGTGTTGCAAAACAAGTTTATTTCATCAGAACAAATTCCTGTGTGTTTTAGACGCTGATTATGGGCACACAAGTTTCCCTGGACGTGGATACGGATTTAATTTCTTTTTTCCCCCCTTGCTGGAGGAATATTTCGGAAGGAGAACCTTATCACGCTATCACACTATGGAAACCGCACTTACCTCCCGCGAAACGCAGTTCTACGTGAAAGCAAGGAAGGAAACGGCATGTGTAAATAAATAAAACAGAGAAATGGAAGAACCTGAATTTCCTTCTTTCTTTTTTTCGGCTTCGGAACGTTTCTGGAGATCTGCCACCATGCGGAAACGTCTGCGGTGGTTCTTTACTAACGCGACGGCTGATCTCCATCGCATCGAGGCTTCGATGGATGGTCTCTTGTGCTCCACAACGAAGTCCTTCAACAGACTCTCCATATGTGGACTCTACTAAATCTTTTGGAGATTATAAAGTGGATCCATATATATTTATATATATTGTGCCAAGTGAGTATATATATCAAGCGTGTAGTGCGGAATCCGATGAGTAGCGTGGCACTCAGGAGGGTCTAAATCCACTTGTTTTCATGTGACATGATAATAATTATTGAATGGTTATAACAAAAATTATCATATACTATTTAAAAAATATCAAATCTCACATTTTAAAAAGAAGAAAACAATATTTTGATTGTTAGAGTTGTTTTGAATTTTTGAATAAAGTATATCTGAATAATTTTCAAGCACAGATGAAATTCTATGACAGTAATCGAGATAATATAATCAACGAGTAAGTAAACTTATGTCACTTATATCAAATCCAAATAAAATTGAAATACACGAGCGGCTCGCACATGGCATTAGCAAAGAGAATCTATGAGTATTTACAAGGGGAGAATGATACATGTAATGGCTTTCATAAAATGTTACTATAAAAATAAAATAAAAATTCCTATTAAATTGTTACGTATGCAGATGATCATTGCTTCAAATGAATTATTAGTTTGGGTCTCTTATTTTTTTCATGAATGCAGGTCAGAAAGTGTATTAGGAAGAGATAAAAAATTACAATTAATCAAATAGCATATGCCATTTTGTCTGACATATTTATAATTTACTGCAACATTTTTTATTAAAATTTTAGAAAAATTTAAAAGTCGTTAACCCTACATAAAAATTAATAAATTTTATACATTGCCTATATTAAATACATTTTTAAAAAAATCTCTTACTCTCCCAACATCAACATTAAATATGGATACAAAAATAAATATTGTAATAAATAATCATATAATTTATTATAAAAAAAGACAACAACATATCTCCTCCAAGTGCTTTTTATAAATAAAATCAGAAATAAATATAAGACCATTGTATGAGAGCAAGGGAATGAATAGTTGAATACAAGTAATTTAATTTTAATGTTTACCAAGAATAATTAATTTTCCTTTCATGCGTAAGAAGCGAATTAATAGAAAAAAAAACATTACAATTTTTTTACTTTTGATCAAATCATTCGTGTTTTTTTGATTGAAAAAAAAAATCACTCATGCTTCAAATAAGATGGTCTTCAAGTTCTCCCTCTCCCCCCCCCCCAACCAAAAAAAAAAAAATGGTCTTCAAGATTTTTAACATTTAAGGAAATTATGACTTAAACGGCCTGACTTGGTCGACATGCAAATTCAAACCGTCTCAGCAGAGGTTAAAAGCAAAATGAAAATTCCACAACAACCACGATGAAGTATTCTTGCAGAATACCAGCGATGAAGAATGACATCATTTCTCATCTATACTAGTAGAAATAGGCCATTTATACCCATGTGAGTATCTACATTGATTCAAGAGCACACGGCGTAAAAAGAAAAGATGATGATGTTTTTATAAATAAAAAAAATGACATGATATCTATACCGGTTACTCGTGGAACCGGTATAGATATTGAGTGAATTGGTTAAGGTAAATTGTAAAGGATTTTGAATGAATTGATCAGTTGCTTATGACACATATTTGTATTTTTAAAATCAATTGATCTGTAGTCTTTTTCTGCATTTTTTATTTCAGGCCCGCGAAATTCAAGACTAATTTAGAATGACGAAATGGGAATCGCAGAAGTAATTGAAAAGAAGGGTAAGTTGTGGGTAGCAACTGGAACAATTCACGAGGACTGGACTTATATTGTTCAATTGAGAAGGAGGCTGGTAGGTGGAATAATGCCTGTCGTTTTACTTATTGCCCTCTTCCTTGTGTAGTAGAAATGGGAGGAACGTGGGAACGACTCATTGACTCTAATCAATATTTGTAAGTAGTATTACGTTACAATTGAATTATGTTTGAAGCCAAAGTATTCTCTGAATAGAAAATTTTAATTAGAAATAATGGACATGCATGCGAAGTATTATTGACTATTCAAATTTCACATTGTGGTAGAGAAAAAATTGTTTGACAAATTATTGAACGCATATGTTTCTTGGGAAAATAAGATACTCCCTCCGGTCCTTGTTGGGAGACATTTTTAATCGTTTCATGTATATTAAGAAAAGTTTAATTATTTTTTAATATCATAAAATGATATTTACTTTCTTTTTTATCCTTAATTTTTAATAATAATACAATTATATTAAATATTTTATGTTAATCAATAAAGGATAAAATTAAAAAAAATGGTTTAAATATTACAAAGTATCTTACATTTTAAATTAAAAATTACTTCTAAAAAATATTTATAAAAAGACTAAAGAGTATTTTAAAATTTATCTTGGTCGTGTAAAGTTTATTTGGTGGGTATTTGATGGAATTAGGAGCATTGTAGCATGCCTTGGAAATTTGTGAACTGGAAACTTAATGCACTAGGTAGTGATGAATCTTCATGGTATCAATACTACAAAAAAAAAAAATTATATAGTGGTTATTTTTATCAATATATAACAGATAAAAACCATTATATATTTGTATGATCTCAAAGAAACGATATAGTGATTATTCAACTTATATATAGTTTGGCTTTATATAATGATCATTTACAAATAACTGTTATATAATTTTTTTAAAT